TCTATAAATACTTTCATGGTAATTGTTCGGATGAGCTCTTCGCTAGGGTACGTAGACTTTATAAATTTAAGCGCAATATTAGACTGGTGGCGAGATCCGTTTGAGCTAACTTGATGTAGATTTCTATGCTAACAGTTTCTTTTCTCGCACTTCTCGCTTGTTGGAATCACTTTTTCCAGCCAACTTTAATCAGCTAAAAATTAAATGCAACGTCAAACGCTATCTGCTGTCTTCGTGATTACTCTTTTTACTTTCTGCTCATTACTAATGTTTCTGTTCCTAATTCCTCCGCACCCTGTAACCCCTTGCGTGTTAATGGCTGTGTTGCCTTGCTTGGAGTGATACCGATTAAACAAAAAGACGCATTTAAACCAGTAGGAATCAGTATGATCAGTTTGAAATGGAAGTTGATGTACAAAACGACCTCAAAACAGTCGTTAACTGGGACAAAAACTAAACTTCTCTTTATTAATCATCTGAGAGACCCCTGCCTTCCATCAGCATGGCTGATGCTATCCTCCAGGAAGGCGACACATTGTGCCTTCTTGGGCTAATGTTCTCAGCCGACATGAAGTGGAAAGAGTATATTGAATTCATTGCTAGGCCAGCTTCTAAGAAAGACGGTTAAATGTGTTAAATGTGTCGGGCGAGACAACACTTCTCTCTTGAATCTATCTTATATATCTATAAGTCTACTATTCCTCCATGCTTAGAATATTGCTGCCATATATGGTCTGGTGTCCTTGCTATTCACCTGGAGCTCTTTGATAAGATCCAAAGAAGAATCAGCAATATTGTTGGTCCTTATCTGGCGGCTCGGCTTCAGTCACTTGCTCACCGCCGTAAGGTTGTCGCTCTATGCTTTTTTTTTACAAATACTTTCATGGTAATTGTTCGGATGAGCTCTTCGCTATGGTACTGTACGGACTGTATGACTTTAAGCGCAATACTAGACTGCCGGCGAGATTACATCAATTTACATTTGAACTAGCTAGGTGTAGCTGTAACTTCTATGCTAATAATTTCTTTTCTCGCACTTCTCTTTTGTGGAACTCCCTTCTGGTTCCATGCTTTCCAACCAACTTTAATCTTCAAAAATTTAAATACAATGTCAATCGCTACCTGCTGTCCTTGTGATTACTCTTTTCTCTTTCTACTCATTACTAATGTTTCTGTTCCTAATTCTTTCAAACCCTGTAACCCCTTGCGTGTTAATGGATGTATTGCCATGCTTGAGGTGATACAGATTTTAAAAAATACTATATTTATGAGAGAAAAATACTTAATATCAAGGACCCAGTGTATATAAGCGGTTAATTTTAATACAGAATGTAGTGAGGAAAAGGACTCTTTATAAGCTACAAGAAGACAAGATGCATGGTGAATAGCAAAAGGATGAGACCAAACTTCGAGTTGCAAATCGAAATCACAACAAGTAGAAAAATTTAAATTTTAATTGTTTTAACAGAGGTCGGAAAATGTAACACTGAAATCCAAAGGCGTATTGGGATAGGCAAAGATGTATCCCAAAAGCGAAGCAGAGTACTAAGAAATAGAAAACACTCGCTAGAAGCAAGTTAACAGAGTCCTAAACGGTTACGTGATACCCTGTCCTCCTGTATGGCAATGATTTCTGGACAATACCCTTAAAGATGGAGAACAGTCTTGAAGAAACAGAAATATGGTTCAACAGAAGGATACTCAGGATACCCTAGAGCGAACATCTGAGCAACGACGAAATGGAAACAAAAAGGAAATTTATACTTAACATCAGGAAGAGACAGTTGAGGTTTCTGAGGCACGTAATGAAGAAGGAGGGTTTGGAAAATCTGATACTCACAGGAAAAATTGAAGGCAAAATGGACAGAGGAAAACAGCGCATGGAATACTTAGTGAGATTGAGTAAATGAATGACGGAACAGGACTTAGGATAAATAACGGAAAGATAAATATTATTAAGAGCTTTATTTCACCAAAAAATGAAGAAGTATTAACATACGGTGGAGTAATGGATAGCGGCTCGGATTGAGGAATCGGAGAGCTGAGTTCGAATTCCAGTCGAACCCATTGCATTCACTTGCGTGCTAATATCCTTGGGGAAGGGATGAATCAGCTTCTTCTCCCCGCCCCAGATATGGGTAAATAGCAGGACAGACCGTAGAAAGAAATCGCAACCTACTGCGGAAAAAAAATCTGCCTCGTCAGTCTTGTATCGAGAGGTACATGATCGCCTAAGCGTGTATCACGCATGGCACATAACTGACTGAATATTTTCTTGTTAGTTTTCTGCGGGATTTTTATTTATTTATATAATTATTTATTTTTCAGAGACCTGTTGCGTGACTGAAACAGTAACTCGTAAAGCCGAGTTCGAATTCCAGTCAGATCAATTACATTCACTTACGTGCTAATACCCTTGGGAAAACCACGAATCCTCTTCTTCTCTCTCTCCCCACCAGCTATGGGTAAATAGCAGGACAGACCGGGTTCTATTACCTTGGATAGCAACTGGTCTACCGCAGAAAGAAATGGAAACCTATTGCGGGAAAAAATATTGCCTCGTCAGTCATGTATCGAAAGATATATGATCGCCTAAGCGTTTATCACGCATGGTACATAACTAACTGACTGACAAGGGACAGCAAATTGTGGAGGGCCATGATCGCCTATGTCCTGAATGATCACAGCATATAAAAAAGAAGAGTCTACACGAGGGCCCGGCGGATATGAGACTAGGGGCTAGAAATAGTCCAGTATCCTTGGTGTTTATTCTGTGAGGATGCCTTAGGCACCGCAGGTTAATCATCTGTCTTTTGCGGGGAGATACTGACGCCCAGGATGGAGATCTGGGATTGAATTTAATAATAAAAACAGCATCAGAAGGTATTATCGGTCTTATTTAGCTAGTACCACGTATCTTATATTTTAGCCAACTTTATTTTTAATGGAGTTAAATGATTGGTATGTTCAACTTTAAAAACAAATTTAAAACAATAACTGTGTTTTGTTGATCAATTCCAATTACGTCTTTTGTGTTCATTATCAATAAGTAATTTTTTATTTATTCTGCTTTACTCATTTCACCTCAAGCAAGGCGATAATGCCACTAAGATGTAAGCAGTTAATGGGAAGGAAATAAAAAGAATGAGACCCGGAGACCCAATCCTAAACGGGAAACATGAGACAAGTCTCTACTCCTGTTCAAAAGACCTGACATGAATGTGAACCTGGCGATAGGTAAACTTTATAACTAAATTGATTTGTTATTAAAATAAAGTGATTTTCTGTCCTGAACGTGATAATGACCTTGGACTTTAGACTGGAATTAAAGGAAAATAGCTCTATTTCGTGTGTTTAATGGAGCATTTTTTTATCATTTGCTTATTCAAAGAAAAACTTTATCGTTAACAAATAATGAAAATAATGAGAATTGTTGAGCCATTACACAATACACATGGCCTGAAGATTGCGTTCACGCATGATACAGACTGTCGTCATTTAGTATAGACCTCAGTGTCCACTTATACTTGGAAGAAGCGACGCCACTATGGGAAAAATGTTTGCTGTGCGCTTTTGATGTCTGCAATGCTGAGCTAGTCTTCCATTACACATTGGATTCAATGAAATCAGATGGCTTGATGGATAAAGCCTGTATAGAACGGTGTTAGCAGTGGGTAATCAGTTCAGTTTCACTGTCAGATATGCTGTATTTTTTTACGTTTTTGGTATGTTGGAGATTACCACTTATAAGAGCTAGGAGATTATCTTAGGATTACGTCCGCTACTTCAGTATATCAGTATAGTTGGTTTTAGCATTGTGTAATGATTAAATGAAAATGCACAGAGTGTTGATGCAACCAAAATAAATCTTTATATAACACAATGTAATAATGCAACAAGTATAAGGTGAAAGTTGATGTTTCAAGAGTTCACCTGTAAATGTTGTGCCGTACAAGAGAAACAGAGAAAGAGTCCGATTTGGAAGTAAATATATACATATATATACGTATGTATGTATGCATGTATCCAAATGTAGTAGCTGCCAATTGGCCACGTATGTTTGTTTTCAATCTGACAAGGACGGTGTAGGTATTTCAAATAGTCGTGCAAATGTGGTATTTCATCTCTGGCTATGTTAGGATGACCGCAGCATAGGCAAATATAGGAAATTAATTTATCGACTCTACTTTTGGTTGATGTTCCATCTGTTTATATACACATCTATAGATCCGCTTTGAAAAGTCATCTCGCTTCTTATTGGATCGCGAACTTATATCCTGGTTGTGCAAGTTTTCTTATTGGTTGGTCGAAATATCTATTTTTAGAAATGGAGAAATTTCGGTCTACGCGTATGTATTTGTTTATTTACAATCTGGTTGTGAAAGCTAGCTGATTGGTTGGTCGAACTATAGGTTTGTTTACTCGGCGATTTTACTATCCGTCTAATTTGAGAGATGGTGAATATATGGTTATCTTGTTAATTACTGTTATTTGTTTATTTCTCTATCGCCAAACGCTCAGACATATTAACTATGTTGTCAAACATATTAATTTTCTTAGATATATGGATACATACTCAAACAACCACGAACGCGTGCAGGAGGGTGTGCTAATTAAGATAGTATTTATTGTGTTTTGATGCTTTTGGTACAGGATATTTTCTTTATTTATGTTCACAGAGGACGGCACCTAATTGAAGGCAAAAAAGAAAGAAAGAAATATTAAGAAGAAATATTTAAATATTAGAATAATAATAATAAAAAAGAAACCTCTTTTACGTGTGCGCAGGCGCATACAAAACAAGTAGAAAAAGAAGAATGAAGAAACAAATCAAGAACATGGAAATTATCTGATAATGCAAAAACAACAACAAAAAAAAAACAAACGATGTAAAATATCTGAAAGCAGTCCGACTTGCATTCCATGAATAAAGAATGTTCAAAGAAAAACGAAAGAGATCTTTGCAAAGAGAAAGGACTGAAGCAGAAACAGAGGTTTCT